TCATCCCCTGCTCACACTGCCTCTCTCTCTCAGAAATTAAAAAGGAAATAAAAAATAATAATAATAAAAAGAAAGTGAATGGCCATGATAATAGGCAGGGGTCTTTGTTTTATAAGGTTCTGACCCCTCTCACCTTCCCTTCCACCTAGTTCCTTCTCAGGTCCTACCCTTATTGGGTTGATAACTCTGGGTGCTGGGTTGTCCCTTCCTGATTGGCTCATTTCCATTGTATGAGGGGTAGTCTATGGCCATACTGTTCCTTGTGGGGAATATGTTTTATGATCTATTACTTATTTTAAGTTAGGTATTTTGTCAAATTCCTGAGGGAAGTCCGTCTCCACTCAGGCTCCATGACCTGTGTGGATTTGGACTACATAAAACTGGCCTCTACAGAGAATAACAGGAAAGGTTTCACAAACTTCATGTGGATATGGCCATCGGAGACACTAATCACTGGTGCCTGTCCATAGTAATTATAAAGAATTATAAGGATAATCCCATGGTAGCATGCAGACTTTCTGTATATAGAGAAGTTCTCAGAGACCCAACCAATTTTTGTATTTAAAGCCATAGGAAATGAACAGGTGAATTGTAACCATGCATTTTTTTTTGTTTGTTTATTTATGTATTATGGGAGAGAGGCAGCATGAGTGAGGAGGAACAGAGAAAGAGAGGGTCTGAGAATCCCAAGCAGGCTCTTCACTGTCAGCACAGAGCCCAACACAAAGCCCCAACTAACAAAACCGTGAGATTACAACCTGAACTGATACCAAGAGTCGGATGCTCAACCAATTTAACCACCCATATGCCCCTGCAACCATGTATTTTGAATACACCAAGAACTGAATATGATATGGAGAGAGAGGGAGACAGAGAATCCCAAGAAGACTCCACACTGGCAGCACAGGGCCCGATGCAGGGCTCAAACTCACCAACTGTGAGGTCATGACCTGAGCCAAAATCAAGAGCTGGTCACGTAACTGAGTGAGCCACCCAGGCGCCCTTAGAGACTTTTGACTTAGCCACAGTTCAAGGTATTATGTGAGTGGAAATTCACATTGACCCATGAACCCATAAAAGGAATAGAAATGGTGTCCCAATAACCTAAATCATTTTCATGGTGATATAGGTTAGGGATTGAATTATGTCCCCTAAAACACACATTAGAGTTCTAATACCCAGGACCTCAGAATGCAGCCTTAGTTGAAGGCAGGGTCTTTACAGAGGTAATCAAGGTAAAATGGCATAACTAGGTTGAATCCTACTACAATATAATCAGTGTCCTTATAATAGGAAAATTTGGACACAGAGACACCCATACAGAGAACAGCATGTGAAGACTGGAGTTATGCTGCCTTAAGCCAAGGTACTACCAGGGCTAGAAAAGAGCTGAAACAGATTCCTTCCCTAGTGCCTTTGCAGGGAACATGGCCCTTCCAACACCTTGATGATAGTGGACTTCTGGGCTCCATCCCTCTGTTGGCCAACTGATCTAGATGCTGTGAGTCAAACTTAGCCTGCTTAAACTGAGAAAATGATCCATCTGAATGTTTGGTGAGGAGACACGTCAACTTAGAGGCATCTCATTTGGCTGGGATGATAGAAGCTGCTCATTTAGCATGTAGCTCTGTGAGGGCATTGCCATTGGCTTTTGATCTGCCTACGCACTTCTACCTTCGTGACCACTGTTTGTGAGTCTTGAATAGCTTCCACTAAGTCATTGGTATCTTTCTCATCACTAGTCAAAATATTTGATGTTATAAATCCTTCAGATTTCATAGCATTTCAAAGTCACAAATAATTCTAAAATCATTATCTATTTTATCTTCTGTCTTTTGCAACAGTATAGGCTTCAGTCAGAGCTATTACTTCTACCACCTGGGAAGATCAAATATTATGTAATGGAGCTGCTTTAAGGTCTGTATTTTCAACAGGCACAATAAAAGTGGATGTCTTTGCCATTTTCAAAATCCATCTATAAACAATATTAAATCAAGTGGCGGGTGGTGGGGGGTGAATGGAGTCAAAAGGTACCAACTTCCAGTTGTAAAATAAGTTATGGGGATGGAGAAGTCTTTACTGCATACAAGGTCCTCTGCCTTGAAGTTTAAGAGTAGCAAATACTGATATAATCATTAATATTCAGCATAGCTGTATTTTTTCTAGCATTAAATCCTAAATGCGGTTGCTTTCTATTGTCTCTGCAGCTTCTGATGAGGTCCCTAAAGTTCATGAGTTTCAATGTAGTTCAGGGTCAAGGTGCAAAAGACAGCACCCTGCTGTGGCCTCTACTTGCCAATGCCTGTAATCCCAACAGAGCCAGTAGCTCACTGAGCCTCATCTTGGCGGGCATCAGCTGATGCTATCCAGGAGGCCAGGCTTTGAGTGAGCCCCACTCCCACGTTCCTTGCCTTTGCAGAAGCCTGAGTGCTCCCACCACTCCCACCTCCTACCCTGCTTCTTTGTTGATGCCTGTACACTTCCGCTTGAGGCTCAGTATTGCAGTCTGCCTCTAAAATAACCAAAGTTGTATAGAGGAGGCTACCCTGAACTTCAGATCAAAATCCTCTGTGCCTTAAGGCTTAAATTATCTTGCCAAAATGGCAACAATTAAAAGCCTACTGCTAACACACAAAAAAAATCAATGACCCAGTCAGTGCAAGCCTCTACAAACTGCCAAGATCAAAACTCCCTGTGAATGTGTTAAAGTCTGAGCTTGAAAACCACGAGCTCTGGCCACCCAAAGCTTCTCCACTTGTATACTGTGTTCACTCAAGTCTCAGTCCTGCTTTATTTAGCGTACTGGCCCATGCAGCACAAACTGGAGTTTTGGATGTTACATTCCCCAAAACATAGGCCCTTCCCCTGTTCTGCCACCATCCCCTTCCTTTTCCTGCTCTTTGTCAATACTGCCCTGTTCTTTAGTTTCAGTACAAAAATAGTAATCAAGAGTATATATATACACTGTGCAGGCAGGGAAGGTGTTCTCCCCAAAATTATTAGGTAAGTCACTACCTCGCTGGGCAGAAAAAGAGCAGCAAAGAGACCATTAGTGCTGGGCTCAGGGTGTCTCCTCCACATGGAAGAAGACATCAACCAAGGATATACCTGTTAGAACCCATCCGGAATAACAGAAATGTAACTATTTTTAAGACTTTTAAATATATCCCTGGCTTTCTTCCCTTTGTCTTTTCCTTAAGCTGTCTTCAACTCTTCTCAACCTTAAAGGCTTTTCCCACATGCCATGAAACTATCCCTATTGTCTTCAAAAATTTCTCAGAAAACTGAGGCCCTTGTTCAATGCTTTGCGAAATGTGGTCTGAGAAGCATCCACAACAGAATCACAGATTGTTTGTTAAGACGTTAGTGAACCCATCAGTGCTATCTAAATCTTGAAGTTAGGAGCCTTGCCAGTGCCTTGTAAGAAGTTCTGTTAGCGCATGAAGAAGTTCCTTAATGCATGAAATCCGAATTTTTTTTGGTACCTCATTATCACAGATTACTTTTGTCTTACGATGTTATTTGGCATTTGCCGCTCTGTAAATTGCTTGGAGGAAGTTCTTTTTTAAGACTAATTCCTTAACACAGACGCTGCACATATAGCAGCTGCTTAACAGCATTTTTAAAATGCACTCAACTCCTTTTTACTCAGCTTTCGAAAAGACTAGCTCTCTTCCCTTGTCCTGTCCCGATAAAGCGTCTCCCTGGTCTCATCCTGAGAAAGTGTCTAGAAGTGAAAGAAAAACACATGTGAAATCACTATACAGCAATTAATTGAAATATGTTAGTTCCACAATGTATTCTTTTCTAAGGTTGCCACATTGTCTTTTTGAGTTGCTCATTTTAAAGACTATATAATATACTGCACATTTCTAAGCACTGTATTTTCATCTAATAAAAGAATTTCTCTTCTTTGGTAAACTGTGTTTCCTCAGCATCTCCTACTGCATTTTTTTTTTTAATGTTTATTCATTTTCGAGAGAGTGTGAGCAGGAGAGGGACAGAGAGAGGGAGACACAGACTAAAGCTGGTTCCAGGCTCTGAGCTGTCAGCACAGAGCCTGACACGACTCCAACTCACGAGTTGCAAGATCAGGACCTGAGCCAAATTTGGATGCTTAACCAGGTCGCTTAGCCGACTGTGCCACCCAGGCGCCCCTCCTACTGCACTTTTAAATGCATGGTAATCTGTAGAGTGCACGGGTCTCAGAAACCTTAATGCAGTACCAGGCTGCATGTTACTATTTATGAAATTTTATTATACAATGTTTTACAAATATTATCATATAGCCCTTCTCATTTTATAGTGATTGCCAGGTGGTAGGAGAAGCAACAGACCAGCATTTTCCCTCAGTTCACAAAGGTACCAGTACTGGTAATGTCTAGACACAACACTCTACCATAATAAAGTCCCGCAGAGCTGAAAACTTAATTCTTGCTGTGACACTGCTTGGTTTCCATCATCTTTCAAAAGATTTGACACTAACCTGTGTGCTTTCACTTAAGAGAATATTTGCAAATAGCAGACTGAATTCTTACACCAAATTTTACTTTATAAAGACCAAATGATAGTATAGGGGGGCAGAAAATCGTTTCAGCACCTGGGTAGTCTGCTCCCAGGTTTCTGAATTTTAAAACATAATAGTTGAGGGGTGCCTGGGTGGCTCAGTTGGTTAAATGTCCCACTTTGGCTCAGGTCATGATCTCACGGTTCATGGGTCCAGCTCTGCCCTGATAGCTCCAAGCCTAGAGCGTGCTTCAGATTCTGTGTCTCCTTCTCTCCCTGCCACTCCCCTGCTACCATTCTGTTTTTCAAAAATGAACAAAAATGTTTTAAATAATTAAAAAAAATAATAGTTGATTACTAAATTTAAATATTTTATTGAAATAATTCATTGAAAGCTGTGGTCCTTTATTTTTAAAACATTTTATTTCATCTGAATTTCATATGGTACAAAAATATTACATGCTTAAACATGTTCAAATAGAAAGTTCTTTCAGTTCTTTGGGCCACCTCGAAGGAAAATAAATAAGAAACAAATAATATTTTATGTATAGCATACATAGAAAACTTTCTTTCACAAGAATAAAAATATTTGGACATTTTATACTTAGTGAAGCTTAGCAATCCATTTTATGTTAATAAATTTAGTTGTTAGGAGATACAGTACATATATAAAAGAACTCAATAAAGGGAAGATATTATAACTGTTAATTAAAAACATGTCTGCTTTAATTTGTTTCTTGTATTTTTTTAAGAAGATACTCCATTTGTAAATTCAAGTTTGGCTGACCCTTTTTAGTCTTTTTGCTCAATATTTTGAATACTTCCATTTTCTTCTTTTTATAGAGCCTTTGGGCTTCTTCTCTCTCTTGTTTTCTCTTCTCAAATTCCTACAATTATTAACATGCAATTTCCATTAGTAACAAACAGTAGATATAGTTCATTGTGTTGAAATAGCTATTACCATGCAAACCTTTAGCCTTATCTAGATTTTGCAAAATGAGAGGTGTTACCTGTCACTGAAGTAGTATACCCTCTGCCTTTACTCTGTAATGCTTTAATACACACTAACACAAAGTTATCAAAAATTTGTAATTCTCTGGCTACAAAATTAGAGTGCAGAGGAAAGAAGGCATATTTATGATTTCATCATAAATTCCATATTTATCATTTCATCATAAATTTCATATTCATCATTTAATTAGATCTGCTGAAGAGTTAGAAGGGACTTTAGAGATTACCTACTCCATATAATACAAAAATCTTCCCTTCCAGAATATCTAGTATTCTATTTAATTTGCCATCTAACAGATTTAATTCAGAAAACATTTACTGATTACATACTAGGCAAAACACGGCTAGGCATTATGGTTGTGATTAAGAATTATGCTCATTTGATTTGCTAGGATAAAGACTCAAATTCATTTGAGCATAAAAAAATAATTCAAATTTATATGTAAACCTGAAAAGCACTACTTGAAATGCACAATATTCTTAAGAATGTTCAACAAAAGTTCTTAAAAAAATTCAATACATGCACTGTTTCTCAATTTCCCTGGTAACACATGTAGCGCCCAAATGACACAGCCTGTATTTGTATGGTAATATAATTATCAAAGTGCTTTCACATCATAGCATATTCCATTCTTATAAAACTTTCAATCTAGGCTACTATCTTCATCTTACAGATGAGGAACTGATACTCCATGATATGGAAAATGACTTGTCCCAAATCCCAAATACCCTGTAGAGCTAAGTCTCCTATCTAGATCTTGTGAATTCAAAGTCTGATTAGCACTAAAACTTATGTTCTCCTATGGTATAGTACTTCATTTACTTTAATAAGCACAAAAGATCTGGAACCTATTTGTGAATTTAGGTATATAGAGGCTAGTTTATCTCTATGGAATTTCTCTAAAGAAAGTAAAATTGAAGTCTTACCATTTATCATGGGTGCTTATTTAACTAATGTACCTAGTTTTGATTTTTCATGGATTGGTTTTGGCTTTTTTCCTGACATCTGATATCCATACATAAATATATATATATACATACATACATATATATATATATACATACATAAATATATATACATAAATATATATATAAAGAAAATTTTAAAAGATATTAAATGTTTTATACTATAGTTATCCTTACTTTATCTGATATACTATTTCCAAAGGTGGCAGATAATAACAGATGGTTGCTGGTTAGAAAAGAGCATAATGTAACAAACGATGAAACAAATGTCCAGTACTTCCTCTGAGAAATGTCTCTACTTCATCCTAGTTACCATTCAGTTTAAGAATAATCAGAAGAATTATACATTGTAAACCTCAGATTTCTTAATTATACACATCCTAAAGCTACGATATAATGGAAATTTTGTCAGTGCCATCTTTGAAGTAGTTTTTGATTGATGTGCTATCCTTTTAAAAAAAATTTTTTTAATGTTCTATTTATTTCTGAGAGAGAGAGCAAGCGAGCAAGCGAGAGAGAGCGAGAGTGAGCGTGCAGGGGAGGGTCAGAGAGAGAAAGGAGATACAGAATCTGAAACAGGCTCCAGGCTCTGAGCTAGCTGTCAGCACAGAGCCCGACACGGAGCTCGAACCCACAAACCGTGAGATCATGACCTGAGCCGAAGTCGGACGCTTAACTGACTGAGCCACCCAGGCGCCCCAAAAGTGATAGATTAATATAGCTTTAATGCAAAAAATAAAAACCACAGATTAAACGGAACAATTCTGTTGAAGCTGTGGATAATTTTGTTGTTCTCGTTTGAAAAAGACTATTGTAATTTTGGGTTTCCAAATGACAATAAAGAGTGGTAACTTTATACTAAGCTACTCTAGGAAGCTTTTTAATAGACAAGATCAACTCTTTAGAGAAAAAAAATATTCTAACATCTCCCTGTTTTATTTGTTTTAATGTAAAATTATGATAATCTGTATTTTTGTTATATCAGTAGATCTCAAATTTTATTATACATAAAATCTCTTGAAACACTTGTTAAAAATTCAAGTTCCTGGATCATACTCTTAAAACATGTTGTCCCAGATGCTCACATTATTAACCTATAAGCAGTATCTCTTAAGATCCTATTCTTGACCTACTAGTGTCCCTTCTCAAGGATAACAGAAATGATCGAGGAAATCTGTTAAAATTCTCCAGCTCTGCTCCAACCACTCATTTATTCAACAGCAATTTACAGAAAACATACTATGTGCACACACTAAGAAGCACAGCTTTACATATACATTTAGAATTTTTTTAAAAATTTAAATATTTTAAAAGATCTTACTTGTTTCTTAGCAGCACGCTCAGCTTGTACTTGTTCATATTCTTCCTGCGCTTTTTGATTTGAGGTTTTCTTTTTCTTTCTCTTTGGAATAGTAATGGAGCTTTTTAAGATAAAGATATAGAAGTCAAAGGATTAAAAATGATGTAACCAAAATTCTGACACAAGTATGTCAAATATAGTACTTGCATAGAAAAATCCCACTGATGCAAAGATAGAGCAAGGAAGAGAAGTTGGAAGAAAGAGGACATCAATCTTATTAGCAAAATGTCTAAACAACATACTAAAAATATAGTTATAGCTTTCAAAATATAATTAAAAAATAATTATAAATGAATGATTATAGAGACTCTTCGAGAAATATTTCAACCAGGGACAATTCAGAAAGCTTTGAAAGATCCTAAAATGTTAACAAACAGGAAAACAACACAAGAATGACAGAAATGACAGTAGGGAAAAAAAACCTTTGAATTGAAGGGTATTACAGATGTTGCATGTACATAAACTTTAATCCAAAAGTGCTTTGATCAACTTGTCTCTACTTCATCTATTCAGTCATGAATGACCACACTTTGAACCTAGTCCCCATTTAGAACTGTTCTATATTAAAGTACTTCTCCCCTCTCTGATGTCCCACTCTAATCTAACTCAACTACTTAGGCTCAGACTCCATTCATTTCTTAAGCTATCTGATTCAGTAAATAATCTTCCTTTTCCTGATCTCAATTTTTCACTATGCCAATTCACAACTACACTAAAACATGTCAACAGTTCCTTTCTTGAACAGATGCATAAATTACTCATCACCAGACCTTATGTACTCTTCTAAATATCAGTCTTATTCCTTGTCCTTTCATAGTCAAATACCTAGAAAGAATAGAAAATAGACTACAGATGTCACATCAGTCACTTTTTTCCCCACATTTACTCCTTAACTCCTTGCAATTTGGGATTTGTTCTCTTTAATGAAACGATCCATGTCAAATAGGACCTTGTAGCCAAGTAAGATGATTGAGTCAATGGGCAATATTCAGTCTCCTTTAATTGACCATTCACTACTTTCAAAAATTTCATTCCTTAGTTTTAGTGACACTCTTCTCTCCTGATCATGATTTTCTTTCTTGCGCCAGGTTTTTCCCCAAGTGTTTCTCTTCTTAGTCTCCATTCTTTAGATAGTCATAACCAAGTTAATATGGACTATCTATTGAAAATCTCTTCAAAGTCACCTATGATTACCTAAACCATAAATCCAAAGACTTGCTCTTAAATTCCTTGTTTTTCTTGGACTTTACAGTATTTGATAGATGTCCAATCTCTTTGTACAACTGTCCTCTGCTGACTTGATTGTTTCTGTATTCCCCTTTCTCCAATTATGACACATCTTTTTTAACTTCTTCAGTAACTTTCTCCTGCTTTAACCTCAAAGTTAAGAAATTTTTACGATATGATTTTGACCTTCATACTGTGTCTCATGGTTTAACCCCCCTTACCTCAATTATTACCAAGAATGCCTAAAACCTGCATTTCTAGATTTGCCAGAGCTATACATCCATTATTCAATAATATGATGAACATGCCTACTAACAAAATTCAAATTTTAGTGTCTCTGTTTCTATTTTCAATTACACTTTTTCCTGGGGTCTTATTTCCTGTTACTTTTACCACAAATAGTTAACAACGTTAAGCAATCTCTACACTCAACATGGTGCTTGAACCGACAAGCCTGAGACCAAGAGTCGCACGCTCCACTAAGCCAGCCAGGTGCTCCAAAGAGAGAGGCAGTGAGCACTCCAGATACTAACAACTTTAAAGAACAATATTTTAGTGAGCTAAAAAGTTAAGAGTCCCAAGTAACAGCTGGGTTCTGTGCTGGTTTAGGTTTTAGCACATTTTAACTTAAGGTATGCTACAGAAAGTTAACTCTTATAAAACCCAAGTGTTATACAGTTATGCCATTTGTTTCTTAATTGCAACCAAGTCTGTGTCCTCTGGGGGGGGGAAATCTATAGAATAGCAGTAGCAGCAGCAGTTAACACCTATGTAGTACTTCTTATATACCACACGCCTTTTTAAATACCTTATATAAATAAACCAGTCTTCACAACACCATGAGATGGGTCAGGGGTACCACAGCGTCTGTGTGAATAATCCATTCTGGAGTTGAACAAATGGCAGCTCTGAATTAGAGACTTCTTATTATCATTTCTATCTCAGAGAAGAGCCACCCATATGTTAACTCCAGCTCCAGAGTCTGACGTTAACCAGTATACTATAATATCTCTTAAAGTAGTTGTTGGTTTTTTTTAAACATGTGTTGCTAATAAGAGTTTACCACGGTCCAAAAAAGTTAAATGTATTTGAGGCTGAAATTCAAAACCCAGATCTTTTAGTTCCAACTTCATTACATCTTCCATTAACATAAACTAGCCTAATTCAGTCACTTTCACTAAAAAGAAAGCTTCCTGAAAATATTTTCACATTATTCAGTGTGATTTCTAAATGCCTTAAATGAGAAAAATTCCAATTCCTCAAACTACCCTATAATCTCTTTCATAAAACACTATTTATGTCTAAAATAAAGGATTTTAAAAAAATAATACATACTTTATTCTCTCTGCTGATTGAGGCTGCTCAGTACTACAATGTTCTTCAGACAAAGCTTGGGTGATGCTACATTGTTCTTTTGGCAAAGGGTGATCAACTTGTTCTTTTGACAAAGGTTGTTCAACTTTTCTAAGTTGCTTCCTGAGCCTTTCCTCTTCAGCTAAATAAAGATGTTTTAGATGATCAGGGTATCGATCTGTGAACTGGGATTCCAGTGAGGTTTGAGCCTTCTTTTCCCTCCATAGCAATTTTTTGTAATTTTGCTGAATCTTCAGTTTTCTTCGGAATGCAAAGCCTTGTCCTATTGAAGAATACCAGTCATAAATTACTTTCTCAGAAAGTAAGTTGAGCGAAAAATATATCTATTCATTTAAAATGGAAAACTGTTTACATCATCACGTTCAGAAGCTAGAATTACACTGTTTAGCTTTAAAAAGTCATTTCAAGAAAACAAGTTTAAGGGAATGGAATGAATAGTATTTTAGTTCTTTGCAAAAAGACTAGGCTAATATTAGTCATGCACACTCAATAATCTCAAAGAAGAGAAAATGACTTACATAACTCCAACTGACTGTACCCCAAACCATAAATTCCTTAATTCATCTAAAACACTTAACCGAGGTCTTCAATAGTTTTAGAAAAAACCCACATCAATTATTTTACCTTAGAAAAGCACTATATGACTGATTTTTCTCAAGAAATTCAGTACAAAAGAGAGAAGATGGTATATGATGCTCTGTACAGCTAGCATTTTCGAGAAAAATGAATTTATAACTTATACATTCCAAATGGGATTTGAGGAAACCTGCAGACAGTAAGACAAAATAAAAACACAAACTAAGGCGAAATTCAGGAAGATCAATAAAAGAAAACGGTTTCTAAAGCTTTGGGATATTTGTAATCGACCAGGATCTGGGGCAGTACACTTCCGGCCCCAACTTTCTCTATATCCTTTACCGTAATACATGCAGAAATGGACCCATAGATGCTCTCACAGTTTCACAGAAGAAAAAAATTAAGGAAAACAATTCTGATCAAGAATGGGGTGAAGTCTAGGAAAACGCTTAAAGATTCAGAGTTAGTAATCACCGCCTCAGCTTCCCATCAAGAGCTATGGGAAGCCCACGGCGTCAGCGGATTTAGGAATGGCCCTCTGCCCCAAGCAGGACTGGACCTAGTTCCTAAAGCCTTCTTCCCTGTACGGCAGGTTTCATATCCTAAGATTCTGCAGGCCTGAGAACCTGTAAAAGGCTGCCTTCTTACGTACCCTCCCGAACGCTTCCCACGAAGGCCTGCGGATGATTAGATCGCCACGTCCTCTGCTTCACATTCTTATTCCTGAATCCGACCGGAGAAACTCCATCGCTACGAGACCCCAAATTCCCTGCCGGCCACCCAGCCGCCGGCCTTACCGGCGCCATAGCACACCTAGCAAGTCGCCAGGGGAAAAAAAAAATCACAACGGACGCTGCTAAAGTACGTAATGAGACAAAAGCAATCGATCACCCAACTAGAGTCCAGATCGGAGATCTATTCATCCGGTCTGTCTTGCGACCAAGCCCTCGCCCTGCGGCTACGTTTGCGCCACCTACAGCCCGGGCGGGTGAGCGTCATGGCGACTTCTTTTCCGCTCCCAGTGACCCAGGACCTGTCCACGTTGCGTGCGAAGCTGCAGGGGCTGCTGCAGTTCCTGAGACAAGCCCTGTCCATTTCCAATGCACATACTGTAGACTTCTACACTGAGTCCGTGTGGAAGCAACTGGTCGACTTGCCCCCGGAGACCGTGCTGGGGGTGTTGAGGAGGTCAGCGGCGGAGACAGAAGCGGAAGCTCGGCCCCCCGAAGCGCGCCCCCTGGCGGAAGCCGAGATGGGATCAGGTGAATGGCAGGTGGGCGGGGCGAGCTGGGAGCCGAGAGACAGTCCGGCCCTCCGGAGTGTCTCCCTAGCGGAAGGAGAGCGGAAACAGGTGTACGGAGGGGCGGGCAAAGGCACGCGCTCTGGGCAGCGGAAGTGGGGTCAGGTTCGTGGCGGGGTGGGCCAGGTACGCACTTCCGGGTTATCTCTGTCGCCCTTCGGTGCGTGTTTATTTCCCAATTTAAAGAGACAGGAAATCGTGCCTGAGCCCTTCTTTGAGTAATTAAACAATTTTTTGAATGGAGGGAAACGAGGCGAACAGTGCTTTTAGTTTCCGCGTGGAAAGGGCCGAAGATAAATCGACCCTTAATGAAGTACATCAAGATAATTTCAAATAATGATAATGGCCAAGAAAAAAAATAAAAACATGTGATAGCGATTGTGTGAGGAGACTGCTTTAATTTAGGTGGTAAGAGGTAGGAGAAGGCGCCAGCCTGCAGTGGGTCACAGGAAAGGATTTCAGGAACTGCAGGATTCCGAGAGGCACACAAGTGCGGGACTGGTTGAAGTTCTGGAGAAAAGCCTGAGTGGCTAGAGCCAGGCATAGAGAAATGGCAGGTGTGGTCAGGGAGGTAGGCAGGGGCCGAATCACGCAGGGATCTCCCGTCCTTAGAAAGATCCTGGATTTTAAGTGTGATGGGAAACCTTTGGAACCATTTGGTCAATTTGGGGACTTGTAAGTTATATTTGAAAAAGATAATTTTAATAATTATCTGAAGAACAGGAGAATGGAGCGTAAGCTGAGAGAGCAGTTAGAATGCCATTTCTGTAGTACAAGAAGGGTGATTGTAACATCGAATCGGATGATAGTAGTGAAGACTCGGAATATGTACCACTTCACTTAAAAATTGTTTTTTTTTTTTTTTACACATACTTTATTGTCAAATTAGTTTCCACATAACACCCAGTGCTCTTCCCCACAGGTGCCCTCCTCCGTGCTCATCCCCCCTCCCCCCCACATCCATCAGTCCTCAGTTTTTGTCAGCATTCAAGAGTCTCTCATGGTTTGCCTCTCTCCCTTTCCCCCACCATTTCCCCCCTTCTTCTCTCCCTTGTTCCTCCGTCAAGTTCCTCCTAATCCTCCTATACGTGCAAACATATGATATTTGTCCTTCTCTGCCTGACTTATTTCACTCAGCATAACACCCTCAAGGTCCATCCATGTTGCTACACATGGCCAGATTTCATTGTTTCTCATTGCCATGTAGTATTCCATGGTATAGATAAACCACATCTTCTTGATCCATTCATCTGTTGATGGACACTTAGGCTCTTTCCATGTTTTAGCTATTGTGGAGAGTGCTGCTATGAACATTGGGGTACATGTGCTCCTATGCCTCAGCATTTCTGTATCCCTTGGGTAAATTCCTAGCAGTGCTATTGCTGGGTCATAAGGGAGTTCTATTGTTAGTTTCCTGAGGAACCTCCACACTGTTTTCCAGAGGGGCTGTACCAGTTTACATTCCCACCAACAGTGCAGGAGGGTGCCCGTTTCTCCACATCCTCGCCAGCATCTAGAGTTCTCTGATTTGCTCACTGAAAATTGTTTTTAAAGTATCTACTATGTGCCATGAATTTTTGTAGGCTCTGGGGTTTCTTGCCTTCTAGAAACCTAGATTCTACTAAGGTGAGTACATTTTAGAAGTTTAGTGATGACAGGACACCATCAGCCTTCTGGAATTTCTTCTGTTTGGCTACTACGCTTTCCCAACCTCACCCGTATTAGTGAACTTTATTCAACTGGGTGTTCTCCGAAATACAGAGTACCACTAGAGGGTCCTCCTGTAATAGGACTTGGTAAATACTGGTTTCTTTAAACTTACTGTTTATTGTTGAAAACTTACTCATCTCTTCAGTTTGCTCGCATAATACCCAGTACTCACCTAGTAACATGCCTTAAACGCTCAGTGTACGTTTGTTGAATGAATGAATGAATGAATGACGAATGGTAGCTTCCCAAAAGAGAAAAGAAACGGCAATTAAATATGAAGCCCAAGACTTTCATTTAGGTTTTCACACAATTGAAGAATTAGATTGTTTGCATATACTAATACTAATAATAATAATAAGATATTTGATATTTATTATTTACATTGTGTTAAGTGTTTTTTTGAATATTATCTCTTTTAACATTTATATCAGGCCTACAAGATGGATTCTGTTTTCCCTTCTTTGTGAAATTGCTACTTGAAGTAGTTTATCAGGGTCGCAGCAATGGAGATTCAGACCTGGGTGATCTGAGGTCTTCACTGTGATAAAAGTTTACTCTGATTTTTGTAAGAGTGAATTACAAAGGCTATTTATTACCAAAGGCAACATTTTTATGACATGACTACATTCCTTATTTTTTGTTTTGTTTTTGTTGTTTTCCCCTTTAAGAATGTAAGAATTGTTTTGTTAACTGCTGTATCCCTACTACAGTGCCCAGTCACTAAAGTGGTTAATAATTATTTGGCAAGTGAATGAATGAATGAATGAGTGACACCACTTGCTCATTCTCTTGGGCTAGGAATAACATACTACCATCTTTGGGGAAAACCTTACAACCAACTTTTAATTTATCCAACAACAGAGGAGTCTAGACTAGAATGTTCACTTTTGGGAAGTACCTGGCCCTGCATACTTTTATACAAAATATTTACTTGTGCAAATTGTCAGCTCTATTAAAAAGAATGAATTTTTATAATTCATGCTTGTAAGGGATATTAACTTTTGTTCATACAAAGATAAAAGATGGGCATTCTCTTTTTCACTATGTGAGGTGTGGGTGGTGTTTGTCGGCGAGAGAAAGAGTGAAAGAGCCCCAAGCTTCTTTCTGATCACCAGGCCGGCATCTCTGTCCTGTCGGTTTTGGTGTCTTTATTTAAAGATTCAACAACAACATGAGATCAGAAAAAGGAATTTTTACATTGGGAAGCTTTTTGTGATAACAAGTTTTTGATATTCTTGCAGAATTACCCCAGTCATAGTGAGGTTGAGTGAATTTTACAACTAAAGAAATAACAGGGTGCTCTTAGTGAAAAACAGGATAGCTTATATAGGTTAAGTTGTATATAGATAGGCTAGGAGTCATTATGTCTGGGTCTCAAGAGGATGAATGTTTTTGAACTGGTTTGTTTGTGGAAACCTATTTGATGCTGAATGTGTGAACACCATGGGGGCCCTAAATGTGTTAGCCTTTTGCTTTTGAGTTATGTTTTAACTACTCTTATCTATCCTCATCCCAGCCACCTGTAAGGGAGGGTGTTTGCAGAAGGTAGGCCTTAGGGAAGGGACTGCCATACATCACCAGTTAGAAGAAGGTGTAAGTGTTAACTTAAGTTCCGCCCCCATTTGTTCCTTAACTCTAAACTAGGCTCTTTGTCTTGGGGCCAGGCTCAATTGTCCATGATCTGCAAGGCCCATAGGAAGAGGCTTTTGACAATCATCCACAGAGCTTTCATCTAAAATCTCTTTTGTAAAGACAGGAATATGCTTTTCCTTATGAGGTATCTGTGTTCGGAATATTGGCCTGATCTGGAATATTGTGAGGCCTGGTCAATACCAGCAGGCTCATTTCCAACATGAGTCAGTAGTAGCAGAAAGAGATACCAGTTTTCATTTCTCACGGCAGGAGCTGTGCAAACACTGCCATTTCCTTGCTGTGACTGCCATCCAGCGAGGCCGGTGCGGCTCCCAGCACAGTATAAATTAGCAGTTAAATTTTTAGATTTCTGTATCAGATGTGATTCAAATTTGAGTTCTACCACTTACTATCTCTGTAACCTTGGGGAAGTTTGTTCATACTCTCAGCAAACACTTAGTGTCTACTGTGCGGCACACTTTTCTAGGAGGGAGGGAAATAGCAAATAAAATAAACAACAACCCCTGCCTTCATCTTGCTTGCATTGTAGAGGGAGGAGAGAGACAGTTTTTAATGCCACAGAAGGAAGGAACAGATAGAGGAAGTACAAGAGAAAAGTTTCTTTGCAATTTTAAATTGGTTGTTCCAGCAAGAATTCATGTAGATATCCCTGGAAAAGAAACCTAGAAAGGAGAAAAATGAGTCATGAAGCTATCTGGAGGTAAAGCATTCCAGACAGAACAAGAAGTGCAAAGGCCCTGATGTGAGAGCATGCATGGTGTGTTTAAGGAGCACCAAGGAGACTGGAATGGATTTCCATCAGGGACTCACATAAAGTGGGTTTTCTGCTAATTTCTTATGAGGAGTTACAAATAAACACAATTCCCATAGCTTCACTGAATTAGTGCACAGTGTGTAAAAGTACACCAGCAGATGTTTGGCCCAATCATTTGGTGTTTTATGAGACTCAAGTTGTTTCTGAAGATCCTCAGGGTAGCTATTTTAGTAGATTTCTCTTACTAGGTGATGTTATGGCCTGGTCAGAGTCCTGAAAGTTTCTTCTCTGTCCATCGAAAAAAAAAAAAAACATAGAGAAGAAAATTTTAATTCTCTAAAATAAAAAGGAAAGATATTGAAAATAACTATATTTTATGTACATAAATTACAAGTGTTATGGATTCATATGTTAGCATCCTAACCCCCCATTGTGACTATATTTGAAGATTGGGCCTTTTAGGAGGCAATTAAGGGGGAAGGGGGGGATGGGCATGGAGGAGGACACTTGTGGGGATGAGCACTGAGTGTTATGTGGAAACTAATTTGACAATAAACTATTTGTAAAAAAAATAAAATAAAATAAAATAATAATAAAATAAAAAAAAAAGGAGGCAATTAAGATTAAATGAGGTCAGTAAGGGTGGAGCCCTTAATCCCACAGGAAGAGGAAGAGACGTCAGGAGGGCACACACACAGAAAAATTGTATGAGGACACAGAATGCACCCATCTGCAAAGCCAAGGAAAGAAGTTTCCCCAGGAACGAACTCTGCCATCACCTCCGTCCTCCAGCTTCTAAAACTATGAGAAAATAAATTTCTGTTGTTTAAGCCACCCAGTCTGTT